TTGCTTGACGTAACTTCATGATAAGATCAAATAACTCACGAGATGAATTGACAAATGTGACAGCCTAAAAACAATAGAAAAGTAAAATTAAAATCAAAATTGTTTCGTAGTTGCTATCTGATTCATGCAAACAGAAAAACATGTAAAAAGTTGTACATGTACTGTATGTTTGATTATAATGACATGATGACGTACTATTGGTCTCTCAGCTTTGAAGCAGTAGAGTCTGAATCCAGTGTGGGACTCCTTAGTTTGAATGATAACTCCAAAGTAGCACTGATCCTCAGGATCATGAGTTACATAAGTAACCTTATCCACTGGGACACGAGTTATAGACTATAGTTATTAATAGTTATTAATACTCTTTACAAATACCGTACAGAAGGAAATTTTGGAGGGACTAAATTTTGGTGAATTGCTAAAATTTTGGTGATTGGCGAATTTTAATTTGGCGAATTTTAATTTGGCGAATTTTAATTTGGCGAATTTGTGGCCATGTGCCATTGAGCATGCGCATAATGGCTCAAAATGGCGAATTTTTATTTTGGCAAATGGCTATCAAAACGCCAAATTCACCAAATTTAATTACCTCCAAAATTTCCTTCCATACAGTATTTCTTCAATACTCATATTTTGTACATGTACATGTACCTTTGATCTCTCATCATAAAGTGATACTCCTTTCAGGTTAAGACCTAAAACTGCTTTTGGCTTGTGAGCTCTCATATTCTTACTAGCCGTCTATAAAAGGAGAGAAGCAAAAAAATAAAGCAATAACAACAATGCGGGCTACTGAATTCATGAAAATGAAACCACACTTTAAACTAATTCTTCCTCACTCTCTCTCTCCCTCTCTCTTTTCTTACTCTCAAAGTAGGTAGGCAGTCTCTAGCGGCTCAGCTTCAGCATCACCACGTCTCCTGTTAACATTCTCAGAGCCAACATACTGCAAATTGAATAATTTAAAATTGAGTGCATCCTGCAATAAATGCATTAAAAAAAATACCTTCACTCTAACCTGGAGTCCTTGTCAAGAATATTAGTGCCACATGATGTACAGCCGTACAGGTAGTCTCCTAGAGTGTTCTCTCCTCTTCCCTGGTTGATAGTCTATAGATAACAAGAGGTAACAGTAACTGAATGATACACTAATAGTAACAACACACGAGTCATAATCAAGTATAAACAAAATACTGACCTGGTGCTTTGGCTGCCATTTTATTTGGAGGTAACGCCCTTCTTGACGTCATACTTAAAAATTTTGTTTTTGAAATTGAAAATTTGAATAAAATTAATAGCCTATCAAAAAAATTTGCAGCAAGAAGAACAATAATAATAATTATTATTATTATATCTCAGTAACTAATAAACAGTGTCATTTAGTTCAGTTATAATATCATTCATTGTTGGACGGTGTCTATACTCAACTATCAGGCAGCGTTCAACAAGAGACCTAAACGAGGCTCTTCTAATACCATCAGTAAGACCTACTCTCT